CATTTTAGTCTTGAATTTTGGGAATAACGTTTAACTGGGATTCTTACCTTTTCAGTATGGTTGTCTTGTTAAACTTACTGCTACTCTATCTTGCGTGTGTCTGCATTTCTTTTCTTCCTAAATTGATTAATTCAGTTGTCTCCCTTGTTGCAAAGATGAGATCGAGGTTCAGGCGCCTCCTGGCCATACGGTCGGCTGGGTGAAACAAGTATATGACGGATGCCATGTCAACTACACCGTAAAAGATGCATCCGGATTAACCGTGCTGCGTATCGTAGGCCCTCATTTCTGCCATTGCCAATGTATCGGAGACGATGTAAAATTTTATGTGAGCCTGCTTTGTGGATAAAATCTTGTGTTATTGAGAAAAGCAATGCAAATTAATTATGATATCGTGGTCTGAGAAAAAATTAGCTCAAATCATTTTACTAAATTCATTTTATGAATTATTTAAATGCATTCTATCCCGCTATAAATGGAATTCGCCGTTTTCATTCTATCTTCAAATTATGGTACAGTTTAGAGCAACTAGGACTCTTTAAATTTCTGAAAGATATTTTCGTTTTGGCATTCATCATAGTCTTCCTCATGTTATCCTGAATTTTCCTCTGTTTAGTGTATAAGGATTAGGCGTGAATCTGCGAAATGATTAAGGTACTAGTTTATATTTTGTTCTTTGCTCACTGCATTCATTACCGTCGTATTTGACAGTCTCATCAGCTTTTAAAAAGTTACCTGGAGCTCACCAATTTTGCTGTCGGCACAGATATTAAAGATTTGATTCTTATTAATATTTAATTTGATTCCACCTTTCATTTCTAAGGAAAAATTGGTTGGAAGGAATTCGTGAATTGGTCTCACAGTAAGCCTAAGTAGACTTGCCGCGGGGCGAATTCTGTTGGATGCTGCGAAGGGGCCCTCGCCTCACTACCTTGCGAATCCATTCATGCTGAGCCTTCGTCTGTCTCACATTGACGGATATCGTCAGCGCGAGAAACTGAGGACTTGCTCACACCATCCAACGGTCTTCACTCCAGGGAAATCCTTCTTCGGTTTTCGGTGCGACCAATTTACAAATTCCTTTCAACTAATTTTCCCTTTTAAATGGAACGTCAAGTCACACTAAATCACTGAGCGATTTATCGAAATACAGCTCTTTTCATAGCATATTGACATTGACACAAAAGTGATGAACTTATTTATTCTGCCGTACTTTGTTGAATGATGTGGCCAGTCTATTTGAGCTTGCATTTCCTGATAAACACTTGAATGCCGCTATTTGCAAGAAGCCAGTTCCTTTTAATTTTCGCGATAGATCATTGTTTGACTGAACTTTAATCCATATGTAATTGATCGTCAAAGTGATTATTAGATTGGTTCCTACTGTCTATGAACCACATTAATACATTTAAGTGGCTCAGACCTTGCGTCACGTTATATCTTGTGTAAAGAATCATGAGTTTTTCACTGTCATGCGAAAGGGATCGTTAGCTATTGACAGCATCTCTAATGTACTTTCAAGCTAGCATTAATTCAAGAGAACCAAATCGTTCATTTCTTCTTGCTCTTGTTGGTTGTGCTTATCCTTATTTTTCATATAAAATCACGTTTTACAGAATGAAATTGGCACAGAATGTGTTCAAACTAACGCAATACAGAACTATTGATAATTTAATTAGCTTTTTAAGTTATTTACAAGTTAACTGCTTCGCGAGAATCAACGTAATTTTGTGTGTACATAATGAATACATGTATTGCAAAAGTTGTCTCTGCTTTTTATTTTTCACCTATTATTTAATGAGTTATCATTAAACCTTTCCGAACTATTTTTTGAACATTTTACATATATCCTTCGCTAAAAGTTGTGATTTTCTTCGCATATTATTAATTTGAAGAAGTTGTAAAAATGGTGCCTAGTAGCGACAAAGACCTCTCTCTAATGACTGACGATAGTTACAAATGTTATCTTAAATGTCAGATTAGTGTAGACGAGGACTAGATCATCGCAAGCATTGCATTATGTTTCAAGCTCAATAGATCTTGAAAGAACTCTTATTTTTTGATGGGATCGACCAGCTAATAAGCTATTCATCTTTTACTAACATGCAACATTCTATAATATTGAAGTTGCTTTACTTTTTTTTCGCACCTTGTTCATATTGACAGTAAGACCTGAGGGAACGCGGCTTTTCTGGAGTCCATATTATGCATGATCATTTTCAGAGTTCGACTGTGAACTTAGTACATTCTGACTGACGATGCCGGAGAAACTTTAGAGAATGTATCTAGTCCACGGTCCGACTATGGAAATTATCCTGCATACTATTAACTACGCGCTAGGTGCGTTCTTCCAGGTCTCCCTGACAATATTGCAATGTTGCGAAAACAAGGTCAAATATCTTCTATACAACGAACTGAGACCATTACCATACTGAGGGCCACACCATCTTGGTCTTTAAACCTTTAAGTAGATAATAATGATTATTTGATCTCCTGAAATCTAACTGTTATAGGCGTTACTTTTATTGTTGAATCATATGGCAAACATTCTAAACATGGTTTTCTTATATAATTAGGATTTTGAGATAACCTTTATATATACCAAATTTCGTTTAAGGTGATAAGAGACTGTAATTGAATTCTTCCACAATGGTGTAGGTAGATCTTACGTTTCATATGAATTACACATGGCCTTGTTTCACAAAAAGTTTTCTCATCCAGGCAGGAGTGGACTGCAGCTTCGATCTCGCTTGAACTGGTTTCATCAACACCCCAAGCAGGACTTGAACAAGAACAGTATAGTGTATAATTTTGACAAGTTGACTGCAGTCCATTCTGGATGAGAATACCTTTTAAGAAGCAAAACTATGCGAAATTAAATGGAAACTTAAGGTCCATTCATGGCATTTTGGAAAAATTTGACTACCAGTCCGTAATCACCTTTACGAAATAGGGTTGTTACATCTCATATTTATAAGCATGTTTTTATCATGAGGATGCTATTATCGATTCTATTAGGATGTATTTAGATATTATTTTAGAGGTGGCCATTTCGATTCGTGCCTTCATCTTGGATGGACATCTAGGAGGCGCTACAGAAGTGAGT